ACTACTACTACTACTACTACTACTACTACTACTACTGCTACTGCTACTGCTACTGCTACTGCTACTGCTACTGCTACTGCTCCTACTACTACTACTACTACGACTACTACTGCTGCTACGACGACTACTAGACTACGACTACGACCAGAGGCAAAATACAGATTGACAAAACACAGATGGCAAAACCAGGGGTGATCTGAAGCAGGAGACATGATGGATGGAAGAGAGGGGATCCAAATCAGAGGGAGGGAAGAACGAAGATGGAGCGAGGACGGAAAGGGGGCAGAAGAGAGCAAACGGAACCCGGTTGAAGCAGCAACGCCGCGCCGCGGGGCCCCTCTGCGGCCCTCACGCCGAGGGCAGACCCGGCTCGCCGCCCGCCTCGCCGCCACAACAGCCCAGACGCTCCTCGCCGGCGCAGCCGCACCCGCAACTGGCGATGACGGCGACTAGGACGAGGACGAGGTCGAGGACAACAACATCAACAACAACAGCAACAACAACAACAACAACACCATGACCGCCACCACCAACAAAAACAACCACAACAATCAAAACAACAACAACAACAACAACAACAACAACAACGACATCAACAACAACAACAACAACAACAACAACAACAAAAATAACAACAACAACAACAGCAACAACAACAACAACAACAACAACAACGACAACGACAACGACAACGACAACAAGAACACCAACAACACCAACAACAGCACCAACACCACCACAAACAACATCAACAACAGCAGCAACAACAACAACAACAAAAACAACCACAACAACAACGACGACGACGACAACGACGACGACGATTTCGATGACGACGACGACGATGGCGAGTGCGAGGGTGGGGGCGAGAGCGGCGTCGGCGTCGGCATCGGCGGCGTCCTCGTCGGCGTCGGTGATGTCGCTGGCGTCGTCCGCGCTGTCGTCGTCGCCCGTCGCCATCAGCGTCGTCGCCATCGCCACCGCCGTCGGCTTCGACGCCATCGTCGTTGTCGACGTCGCCGCCGTCGTCCTCATCGCCGTCGGCGTCGTCGCCGGCGGCCGCCCGCCGCCAGCTGCCGGCAGCCCAGATGGTTGATTTACTCAGCCGCCGCCGCAACGCCGCGCCCACGCGGACCACCGCCGCGGCCCGCTCGCCCATGCCCGAAGAGCAGCGCAGGGCGACCGGCAGATCCAAAGGGGTGGTCTGCCGCCGACGGGTGCGCACCCGGGCGTGCAGAGGGAGGGGGGAAGCCGTGAAGATGGAGATTCCGCGAGAGCTGAAGTGGCCAGGACTGGGAAAAGTGCCAGGGGCCAAGACGAGCCCGAGATTTTTGTTTCCCTACCTAGGCTCTGCCTAGAAGGGTTCTTACTCTCTAGCTTAAAGGGGCCGGGCAGTGCTACACGCCCCGGGCGGTTCCCCCAGTCCCCGCCCCGCGGTTCCCCCAGTCCCCTGGGAGCTTTAGCCTTAGCTTTAGCTTTAGCTTAGCTTTAGCTTTAGCTTAGCTTTAGCTTTAGCTTTAGCTTCAGCTTAGCTTTAGCTTAGCTTTAGCTAAGTGTTAGCTTAGCTTTAGCTTAGCTTTAAGCAAAGTTGTTTGACTGCCTAGAGGGTTAGTTCAACTTAGTTTCGCTTAGCTTTAGCGTAGCTTCAGCTTAGTGTTAGCTCAGCTTTAGCTTAGCTTTAGCGTAGCTTTAGCTTGGCTTCAGCTTAGTGTTAGCTTAGCTTTAGCTTAGCTTTAGCTTAGCTTTAGCTTAGCTTTAGCTTAGCTTTAGCTTAGCTTCAGCTTAGCTTTAGCTTAGCTTTAGCTTAGCTTCAGCTTAGCTTTAGCTTATCTTTAGCTTAGCTTTAGCTTTAGCTTTAGCTTAGCTTTAGCTTAGCTTAAAATCTCAGCTTTAGCTTAGCTTTAGCTTAGCTTCAGCTTAGCTTTAGCTTAGCTTTAGCTCAGCTTTAGCTTAGCTTTAGCTTAGGTTCAGCTTATATTTAGATTTAGCTGTAGCTTAGCTTTAGCTTAGATTTAGCTTAGCTTTAGCTTAGCTTTAGCTTAGCTTTAGCTTAGCTTCAGCTTAGCTTTAGCTTAGCTTTAGCTTAGTGTTAGCTTAGCCTTAGGTTAGTGTTAGCTTAGCTTTAGCTTAGCTTTAGCTTAGCTTTAGCTTAGCTTTAGCTTAGCTTTAGCTTAGCTTCAGTTTAGTGTTAGCTTAGCTTTAGCTTAGCTTTAGCTTAGCTTTAGCTTAGCTTCAGCTTAGTGTTGGCTTAGATTTAGCTTAGTGTTAGCTTAGCTTTAGCTTAGCCTTAGCTTAGCTGTAGCTTAGCTTTAGCTTAGCTTTAGCTTAGATTCAGCTTAGCTTTAGCTTAGCTTTAGCTTAGCTTTAGCTTAGCTTTAGCTTAGCTTTAGCTTAGCTTTAGCTTAGCTTTAGCTTAGCTTTAGCTTTGCTTCAGCTTAGCTTCAGCTTAGCTTTAGCTTAGTTTTAGCTCAGCCTTAGCTTAGCTTTAAATTAGCTTGCGCTTAGCTTCAGCTTAGCTTGAGCTTCGCTTTAGCTCAGCTTTAGCTTAGCTTTAGCTTAGCTTTACTTATCTTTTCGCTTTAGCCTTTAGCTTAGGCTTTAGTTTAGCTTTAGCTTAGCTTTAGCTAGTCTTCTGCTAATCTTCGGCTTAGCTTTATAGCTTACTGGTTAGCTTAGCTTAGCTTAGTCTGTAGCTTAGCTTTAGCTTAGCTTCACTTAGCTTTAGCTTAGCATTTAGCTTGCTTTACTGTTGACTACTATGCTGCATTTCCTAGGGGCTCCAACTCCTAGGTAGGGTCGCAACTAGGATATATTTTGTTCCCTTACCTAGGCTCTGCCTAAAAGCCTCTTATCTCTCTCGCTTAAAAGGGCCGTGCAGTGCTACACTCGCCCCGGGCGGTTCCCCCAGTCCCCGCCCCGCGGTTCCCCCAGTCCCCCTGGGAGCTGTAGATTTAGCTTTTAGCTTTAGCTTTTAGCTTTAGCTTTAGCTTAGCTTTAGCTTAGCTTTAGCTTAGCTTTAGCTTAGCTTTAGCTTAGCTTTAGCTTAGCTTTAGCTTCGCTTTAGCTTCGCTTTAGCTTAGCTTTAGCTTAGCTTTAGCTTAGCTTTAGCTTAGCTTTAGCTTAGCTTTAGCTTAGCTTTAGCTTGGCTTTAGCTTAGCTTTAGCTTGGCTTTAGCTTCGCTTCAGCTTCGCCTTAGCTTAGCTTTAGCTTAGCTTTAGCTTAGATTTAGCTTAGCTTTAGCTTAGCTTTAGCTTAGCTTTAGCTCGCTAGCTTGCTTTAGCTTAGTGCTTTTAGCTTAGCTTCAGCTTAGCTTCAGCTTAGCTTTAGCTTAGCTTCAGCTTAGCTTTAGCTTAGCCTTAGCTTAGCTTTAGCTTAGCTTTAGCTTAGCTTCAGCTTAGTGTTAGCTTAGCTTTAGCTTAGCTTTAGCTTATGTTTAGATTTAGCTTTAGCTTAGCTTTAGCTTAGACTTAGCTTAGCTTTAGCTTAGCTTTAGCTTAGCTTCAGCTTAGCTTCAGCTTAGCTTTAGTTTAGCTTTAGCTTAGTGTTAGCTGTATTCCTTTTTTTTTTTTTTATCTTAGCTTTAGCTTAGCTTTCGTTTTAAGCTTTAGCTTATCTTAGCTTAGTCTTTTAGCTCTTAGTTCTCAAGCTTAGTGGTTAACTTAGCTTTTAGACATTAGCTTTAGCTTAGCATTCAGCTTGAGCTTCAGCTTAGTGTGGCTTAGCTTTAGCTTTAGGTGTGGATTAGCTTTAGCTTAGCTTTAGCTTAGCTTTAGCTTAGCTTTAGCTTAGCTTTAGCTTAGCTTTAGTTTAGCTTTAGCTTAGCCTTAGCTTAGCTTTAGCTTAGCCTTAGCTTAGCGTTAGCTTAGCTTTAGCTTAGCTTTAGCTTAGCTTTAGCTTAGCTTCAGCTTAGCTTTAGCTTAGCTTTAGCTTAGCTTTAGCTTAGCTTTAGCTTAGTGTTAGCTTAGCCTTATCTTAGCTTTAGCTTAGCTTTAGCTTAGCTTCAGCTTAGCTTTAGCTTAGTTTTAGCTTAGCTTTACTGTTACTACTAATGCTGCTTTCCTAGGGGCTCCAACTCCTAGGTAGGGTCGCACTGGGATAATTTCAGCGCCGGGCATTCGAGGTGTGAATCGCCGTGTCGTTGCTCTCGCCTCTCTGGTCAGTGTCTATGTTAGACTTTCAAGACGAGCCCGAGATTGCTGGGATGAGGCCGCCAGGCCAGGGCTGGCGAAGCCGGAGGGAGACGGGCCGAGGCCAGGAGGGGCGGAAGGGATAACCGCTGCCGATCTTTCCAGCTCCCCTGCAGTCGCCGCACGCACCGCAGCCGCCGAGGCTCGGATCGGGAAGCCTCTCCGTGCGCCCTGGAGCCACGCACAGCGCAAAAGTGCGCAGCCACAGCTCGGGAGCTGTCCGGCGCCGTCGCGGCTCCCGCGAGGTCGGCCGCGCTGCACACCTCGGGGCTTCGGCCGCCAACGGGGGGGGGGCGCTACAGGGCCTCGGGGTCGTCAGACAACGGGTCGGAGCGGAAAGCCTGGCCCTGGGGGAGAAGAGTCGGGAGCGGCCAGGAGGGGGGTGTCCAAGAGGGGGGGGTGCAAATCATGACCGACGGCATGTGCGCGGCCCAGCAAGGGGGGGCCTGGGACGTAATGAAATAAGAAGAGGCGCCATGAAATCTGAGGAAAAACTATGGCCCGCGCCATGAAATCCACCCCCCGCCGTCCGGGCGAGGACGGCAAGGAGAAGGGCAGTTAGGGGGCCAGATGCGAGCCCTACCCCTACCTCCCACGATTTCTGAGGGGGAGGGTGGGGTTCACTTCGTTCGGGAGCTCCCGAGCAAAGTGAACCCCACCCTCCCCCTCAGAAATCGTGGGGGGTAGGGGTAGGGTTCGCATCTGGCCCCCTAGGAGTGCGCAATGGCCGCCGCCAGATGGAACGTCCCACAGGGGTGGAGGAGCGCGGACACGACGGAGGAGCAAGGTGCACAGCGACCAACCGAGACGGCAGGCGAGGGCCAACGGCGCGACGAGGACGGGACGGCAAAATGCCACGGGACGCTACCGCCTGGCCTTCCTCCCCCCGGGGACGCGAGAGGTCGCGGGAGGGAAAGCGCTTCTGGGACGGGGCAGCGCCAAATTCACCGCCATGAGTGGCAGATGCCGATTCCTCCTCGACCCGGGAAGCGGCGAGGAGGACGTCTTCGGGGAGGGTGCGGATGAAGAGAATGGGCTGGTGAGCATAGAAGGCATGCGGGTCCGAGGATCGCTGGCCACCGGCAACGGAGCCCGCGACGCGCGATTGACGAATGACCCATTCGTGCCAGCGAGTGGCGACGCGCGCACACACACACACACACTCACACTCACACACACACACACACACACACAACACACACACACAACACACACACAACACACACAACACACACACACACACAAACCACACACACACACACACACACACACGCGCACGCACACGCGACCAAGCACGCACACGCGCAAGCACGCAAGCACGCACACGCACTCGCACTCGCACAGACACACTTCCTCGGCGAGCGGCGACGCCGTCGCAAAAGTACGGGCTGAAGCGCACGAGCCCGAAAAGGTCGCGCAAGCGGGTGCAGCAGCCGCCCAATTCGGTGCAGGTCAAAGCGTGCCAGCGACGCTATTCTCCTCCTCCTCCTCCTCCTCCTCCTCCTCCTCCTCCTCCTCCTCCTCCTCCTCATCTAGCTCCTCCTCCTCCTCCTCCTCCCCCTCATCCTCCTGTGAGACTTTCGTTTTCTGCTTCCCTCCGCCGAGCACGTGCCGACACCGCAGCGAGCAACAGCACGGGGGCACCAGCCATCGCGCTGCAGGCGGGGGCTGCGCGAGGCGAGCGGACGCGCGGGAGGTCTGCCAGGAGCCCAGGACTGTGGATGAGGTGCACGCGAAGCAGGGAGCGCGCGCGCAAGCGGCAAGCAGGGCCGGGAGTGCTGGGGCTGCGAGGAGATAAGGGGAACGAAGAAGGACATAAACATATAAAAAACGGAGGTCCGCGGGGAGTTCTCGCAGATCGGCGCTGGACCCCCCTCTCCCTGGCGCGCGGAGCGCGCCGGGGGCGGCGCGGGAGGCGCCGCCAGGGGGGTCCAGCGCGGACTCGAGAAATCCGCGCGGACCTCCGAGTTTTTTCTGTTTATGTCATCCTTCGTTCCCCTAGGAGGGGAGAAACAGACGGCAGCAGTCGAGGGGGCATCGAGGCCGGCACCGTCACGTGGTGGAAACCCGCATGGATGTAGACGATCAGAGCTGATACCGCACAGCGGGAAGGGAGGTACTCCGGATTTCGTAATAAAAGGAGGGGGTTCTCATTTCGGGGGGGTCTCTTCCAGGCTATCTTGGAGGGCCTGGGGGGGTCTGGGGACGATGTTTTGGAGGGTTCTCCCACGGGGGGGGGTCTGAAATGGCTTGTCTTGGAGGGTCCAGACCCCCTCTCGTTTATTACAAAATCTGGAGTACACACACACACAGCGTCGGCGGAGGTCTGCGTCCTCGTCCTCCTCCGCGGCCGCTTCGAGCTGCGCCACCCAGTCCTGGACAAGCCCCTGGCCCTGGGGCGTCGCGGAGAGCAGCATGAAGTCCTCCTGGGGCACCACGGAGCTGCGGAGCCCGCCGCTCCCTGGGCCGTCCCAGGACTGCGGCCCAGCCAGGACTTCGGGGCGGCTCCGGCCGTGGCGCCAAGGGGCCCCCCGAGGAGATCCAGAGGGCGAAAACGAGGGAAGGCAGGATCAGTGATCAGTCGGCATCGAATCGGGAGATCGGGTCGAGTAGGAATGCATGCCGGATCCGGACGCATCAGCACGGAGTCCGAATCGAATCGGATCGGCCGCTCCAAGATGCACAGCAGCGCCGTGCAAGCGTTGGGTTGCATCGGAACGGCAGAACATCGGAGTCGAGTCGGCCAGCCGAAACCAATTCCGAATCGGATCACCCGGATCGAACTGGACCCTGCCAGGGCTCACTCGGCTTTCGGACCACAACTCAAATCTCTGGCGGCCGTTGGGGACTGTCTGGGCACTCCCGCAACGCTCTCGGCTGGGCGCAGCTGCTGTAACACGTCCAGAGGCAAGAAAACCCAGAAGCATAGACGGAAACGTCCGATAACCCCCCAAACATCGCACCGGATCGGTCGGACCGGCACCTTTTCTCGAGGCGTGGAACTGGGCACCAACACCAACACAGGGAGATGCCGCCACCTGGGGAAGATGATCCGAGATTTTGGACTCGGTGGTCACGTTTCGGCCACCTGGAAAGCCCCCATATTGCCACCATCACCGAGATCGGCATCCCTCGGTGGACGCACACCGCCGATCTTGGTGTTGGTGCCGACCGCTGAGGCTCCGACACTTGTCGGCACGAACACGGGGTAGGGCGAGGGGGGAAGGCCTCTTAGAAGGAGGCTGCTTTTTGAAAGGCACCAGCCTTAGGTCGGGCATGTCCTCCTGCAGGCACATTTTGGAAGAAAAATAATCAAAACAAGACCCCAAACATGACCAAATAGTAGAAAATCGTCCCCAGACCATTCTTCGCCGATGTCAAAATGTTCCTCCTGTGGAGGGACATGCCCGACTGAACACCAGCCCCACATCTGGAGACAGGGCCCGCGCCCTCCGAGGAGCAGGGGTGCTCCTGAGGAACCTTCCCCCCCCCTCACATCCGACGTGGCACAACATTCACTAATTTGTTTTAACAGGCTTACTTTTTTCATCTTACACTGTGAAGCAAAACCACGACCGGAGCCCCGGGACAGCCCCTCTTTCTGCCCCACTTCTCCCCCCGCACCGACCTGTGAGGGTCCCGGGGCCCGAAGCCAGGCGAGCGCGCCCGTGGTGTCGGGTCGGGCGTGTCCTCCTACAGGCGGACTTTGGACGAGAAATACAAATAGTCGCACAACTTACATTCCCCACATGTTTGGGCCCAAACGGTTACGGAGGAGGTCATAAGCAGAGGGAGGGGCACGTGCAACTAATGAATCCTCTGGTCTGCCATCCCCTGATTCTACCAGTCACCTTCCCTTCGCACTAAGCGGGGCGAAGGAGGGAAAGGGGAGAGGAACACGTGCATAATATCAATCCTCTTCTCTGCGACCTGGCCTCCCTCAACCTGTGACGATACAGGCACGGAATGACATTGTGCCACCGACCGACTGTTTGTGATCGGTCATCGGTCGGCTCACAAAATATTGCAAAAACTATCCAGGAATAATCCAAGTATCGTCCCCAAGCTACTCCAGATTTCGAAATAAAAGGGAGGGGGGTCTCATTTCGGGGGGGTCTCTTCCAGGCTATCTTGGAGGGCCTGGGGGGTCTGGGGACGATGTTTTGGAGGGCTCTCCCACGGGGGAGGTCTGAAATGGCTTGTCTTGGAGGGTCCAGACCCCCTCCCTTTTATTGCGAAATCTGGAAAAAAATGTTTGACTACTTTTGAATGCTCCTGTAGAGGGCCAGGCCCGACTTCACCGCGGTGGACACAGTGGGCAGCGCCAGGATCTCGGGGCCCTGTCCCCCTCTGCGTGTGGCGGAGCCTCCACAGTTTCCCCCGGGGCCGGAGGAGGAGGAGGAGGAGGAGGAGGAGGAGGAGTGGATGAGGTTGAGGAGAGGAGGATGGGGAGGAGGAGGAGGGAGAGGAGTGACGGAGGACGGAGGAGGAGAGGAGCGAGGAGTGGGTGTGGGAAGTACCGCCAGGAGGAAGGGAGAGGAGGAGAGGAGCGGGGGATTGACGAGGCAGCGCGAGGCAGCGAGGATAAGGAGGGTTCGCCGCAGAACCTCGCCGATCTCCGCCCAGGCGTGCTGGCGCAGCTCGACGACTCTGCGCCTGCGGGCGGCCCGCGGTCCCCTCCGCGCTGCGACGCGGAGGCCCGCCGGGGCCTCCGAGGCCGCGGCCGAGGAGCGGCCCTCTGGCGGGGGCAGAGGCCCCCCCGAGCCCGACGGGCGTGCTCTGTTCAATCCGTGATTATCCCCTCGCCCTCTACCCTGTCATTTTCCCTCCCCTCCTCCTCCTCCTCCCCCTCCTCCTGCCACCTCCTGCCTCACACTCACTCGCCTCCTCCTCCTCCCTCCTCCTCCTCCTCCTCCCCTCCTCCTCCTCCTCCGCCTCCTCTCCTCCTCCTCCCTCCTCCTCCTCCTCCTCCTCCTGCCTCCTCCTCCTCCTCCTCCCTCCTCCTCCTCCTCATCCTCCTCTCGCTCCTCTCCTCCTCCCTCCTCCTCTCCTCCTCCTCCTCCTCCTCTCAAAAACTCCTCGACTCCTCCTCCTCCTCCTCCTCCTCCTCCTCCTCTTCCTCCATCTCCTCCACTGTCTCTCTTTTTTAGCAGCGCGCACAGAGGGGGAGGGGGACGGGGGAAGGGCTGCTTAGAAGGAGGCTGCTTCTTCGAAGGCGCGGAGGAGGCTGCTGCTCAGAAGGCACCGGCCCCACATCCAGAGACAAGGCCCGCGCCTTCGAAGGAAGCAGGGTCGCTTCTAGCTTGCCTTCCCCCCTCCCCCTGCCCCGCTCTGCGCGTGGCTGACTGTTGGAGGCATGGGAATGGACACCAACACCAACGCATGGGGCTTCCCTCCACCAGGAGAAGATGATCCTCGGCTTTGGTGTCGGTGGTGATCTCTCGGCCACCTGGGAAGCCCCGACTATACCGCTGGCACCAGGATCGGGATCATCCTCCCTCGGTGGAGGCACAGCTCCGGTATCGATGCTGGTCATAACCTCTGGGCCTCCGACTCTTCCGCGATATCGGCCTCTGGGGCCCTTCAGTCGGGCCCCGGGGCCACTCGAAAGCGGATCCGGCGCGCAGAGCTACCCCAGGGGAACGGAGACCTCCTAGATGAGGTCCGAGTAGACAGGGTCGGAGGCTCGCTCCGCATCGAGCCGCATTGCCGATGCATCGGCGATGCAGCGCGATCCCCCGACCACCTACCCTTCGGTCGGGCGTGTCCTCCTACAGGTGGATTCTGGGCGAAATCTGAAAATTCAAAAATACTTCAGAAGTGAGCAAAGATACCAGAAAAACTCGCCCCCCCCGTACCATTCTTTAAACTGCTTTTGAAGATTCCTCCTGTAGAGGGACACGCCCGACCGAAATCTGCCCAGACCCCACCAGGGAGGCCCAAAGCCATGCTCCCCCTAAGGGAAGCGGTCGGGACCTCCGGGGCCGCGCGGCGGGCAGAGTCGCATCGCAGGGCGTGTGGGGCCGAGGCCGGGCCAGAGAAGGCACCCGTGCACCACCCCCGTGCCTGGCAGAGGTCAGGCACGGTGGCGGTGCACGGGTGCCCCCTAGGCGGACGAAGGGCAGGAGGAGCAGGAGCAGGAGGAGGAGGAGGAGGAGGAAGAGGAGGAGGAGGAGGAGGAGGAGGAGGAGGAGGAGGAGGAGGATGGGGGGGGGAAGGAGGAGGAGGGGGGGGGGGGGAAGGAGGAGGAGGGGGGGGGGGAAGGAGGAGGAGGAGGAGGAGGAGGAGGAGGAGGAGGAGAAGAGGAGGGAGGAGGTTGAGGAGGAGGGATGAACAGGGAGGAGGAGGGAGGAGGGCGGATGAAGGAGGACTCGTGTGCTCGCTCCCATTGCGCCTCTGTCGCTGCGGCCTCCCAGGGGGGGCCACCGGGAGTGGACCCGGGGGCGGGACACTGCCACCGGCCCGGGGGGTGCCAGAAGTGTCCCCGGGATTTTCCGAGGAGGCCCCCACGGTCACCAGAGTACTCCAGATTTCGGAATAAAAGGGAGGGGGTCTGGACCCTCCAAGACAAGCCATTTCAGACCTCCCCCGTGGGAGAACCCTCCAAAACATCGTCCCCAGACCCCCCTAGGCCCTCCGAGATAGCCTGGAAGATATCCCCCCCCGAAATGAGACCCCCCTCCCTTTATTACGAAATCTGGAGTACCCCATCACGAGGCCCAGAGGGCACCAGGGGGCCCCGAAACGGAGCGAGAAAAGTCGAGGGGCACCTTGGGCCAGGGACACCTGCAGCAACCCTCCGGGGGGAAGGGGTCGAGGACATCTGGGTCACCTGGACTGGGGCCCAGCCAGAGCGAAGATGTCTGGGGATAGCGGGGAGGGGCTGGCCAGCGCAAGGAGCCCAAGCTCACTCTCCTTCCCCGTCCTTCCCGCTCCCCTCTTCCCCAGCCCTCCCCCCTGGACGGAACCCGTACCGCTGGAGAGGTGCACAGGAGAGGCGCGCCTGACCAGGCAGCGCGGGGCGCGGGCCCAGCTCCCTGAGCCCCGCTTTGCCTGAACCCTTTCAAACCCTGTAGCTCTCCTCCTCCTCCTGCTCCTGAAGTCCCCAGAGATCCCCCGAGGCCATTGGAAGCCCCCCCGCGGACTCAAATTCCGCGGAGGCCCCCAAAGAACCACAAACGTAAAACAATAAACATTCCACCTCCTCCACCTCCTCCACCACCACCATAATCATCAGCAGCAGCACCACCACCACCACCACCACCACCATCATCATCATCACATTCATCATCATCATCATAATCATCATCATCATCATCATCATCATCATCATCCTCATCATCATCCTCACATTCATCATCATCATCATCATCATTCAGCATCATCATCATCACCATCCTCCTCCTCCTCCTCCTCCTCCTCCTCATCTTCATCATCATCATCATCATCATCATTCATCATCGTCATAATCATCATCATCATCATCATCATCATCATCATATCGTCATAATCATCATCATCATCATCATCGTCATCATCATCATCCTCACCATCATCATCATCATCATCATCATCATCATCATCATCGGCACACATCATCATCATCACCATCACCATCACCATCACCATCATCACCATCATCACCATCATCATCATCATCATCATCATCATCATCATCATCATCATCATCATCATCATCGGCATCATCATCATCATCATCATCAACACCATCACCACCATCAACATCATGATCATAATCAGCAGCAGCATCAGCATCAGCATCAGCATCAGCATCATCATCAGCAGCATCATGATCATGATCATCATCAGCATCATCAGCATCATCAGAATCGGCATCATCATCATCAGCATCATCATAATCATCATCATCATCAGCAGCAGCAGCAGCATCAGCATCAACATCAGAATCAGCATCAACACCACTATCATCCGCATCATCATCATCATCATCATCATTATCATCATCATCATCCTCAGCATCACCATCATCATCACCATCATCAGCATCATCATCATCCTCATCATCCTCATCATCGTCATCATCATCATCAGCAGCAGCAGCATCAGCATCATCCTCATCATCATCCTCATCAGCATGATCATCATCATCATTACCACCATCAGCATCATCATCAGCAGCAGCATCATCACCACCACACCCAACACCACCACCACCACCATCATCGCCATCCACCTGGACGGCGGTGGGCCCGACGCAGCGGAGGGTCGTGCTCCATGTGCGGGACAGGGTCTCGTGTGCGGCTAGCTGAAGAAGTGCATCGTGCAGACTGAGTATCCAGGGTCGACTGAGAGGCAGCGGGGCCAGGCCATACAAAAAGCTCACCACGTCCAGAGCATGAGCGGGCGCCCCGCGACAAAGTTGTACGGTTTTTTGTTTAAGGCGGGGGCGCCGACACGTTGCAAGCCAACCAACCATGTTGAAAACATGGTCCCAAAATCTGGAGCATCCGCGCCCCCCCCCTACATTTGCGCTCAGGCGCTCTGTTCAGCCTTCAGACGGCGAAGGTGACAGCCAAGATTTGCCTCCAAGACAGCCAAGATTGCCTCCAAGACGGCCCCAGGTGGCCCAAGACTGCTCAAGAGGCTCCCGAGACGGCCCCAAGACGGAGAAGAGACTCCCAGGACGGCCCAAGAAGGGTCCAAGAAGCCCTCAAGGACAGCCCGAGGCGGCCAAAACCATTGATGCTATCAGGTGTTTGACGGATCTTCAGGTTCCTTCCTGTTTGGGCTTCTGACCGCCCAAGACGGTCCAAGAGGCCTCCAAGATAGCTCCAAGACAGCCCCAGGGGGCGCCAAGAGGGTCCCAAGCCAGCCACAGAGGACCCTAAGATCGCACACAAGGCCCCCAAAAAAGCCCCAAGAAGACCCTAAAGCGCTCCAAGAGGGCACCAAGACGGCCTCCGAAGGCGTCAGACGCGCCAAGAGCCCCTGAGACGGCCAAACAGGCCGCAAGAGGCCACAAAGAAGCCCCAGGAGGCTCGCAAGAGGCTCCGAAGAGGCCTCCCCGCATGAGGCCCCAAGAGGGTCCCAGGAGGCGTTTTCCTCCACATCCTCCTCCGCCGCCGCCTCCTCCTCCTCCTCTTCCTCCTCCTCTTCCTCCTCCTCCTTCCTCATCCTTCTAAGTGTGGCTCTCGCGTTAGCGCCGCGCACATTCAATATTAAGTTTGCAAGGGAAGAGGGCTCTTCTTCAAAATATGGCTCCCGCCTTGACTCAGGATCGTCAAGACTCGACGGGAAAAATGATTCTCGACGTTGAAGTCCGAGGAAGGGTTTCTGGCACGATTCAAGACTCTCAGACGGTTGTCTTCCAACGGAGCAGTTCAGGCAGTGATAATAGATATGTGTAGATACCTATGAAAAGGGAACTTGGAGGTAGGCTTCATTGCAACATTGTTGATGCGTCTTGGGCTTACACTGGTCACCGTCACCTCCTCCTCCTCCTCTCCTCCTCCTCCTCCTCCTCCTCCTCCTCCTCCTCCTCCTCCTCCTCCTCCTCCTCGTCCTCCTACTCCCTATCGCGCGGACGAAAGCGAGGTCGAGATCACAACCCTCCCCAGTACAGAGCTTTTGCTGGAATGCAGCGGGGCGTGAACTCGATCTCTTTCCTGGCGCACAAACGAAACCGAGGTCGAGTTCACGACCCGTCCGGGTTCAGACCACTCGCTGAACTGCCCCGAAGCGTGGAGTCGATCTC